GTTCTTCTAAATACTACGTATCCACAACCACGTGGCCTGCGCATCTATGAGGTAAGAAGAAACCAGGAAATGGGCCGAAGAAACGTTAAGGAGAAATTGACTGGTAATGTATGGATGTATAGGCAGGGATTTACAAACAGGATATAGTGAACGAGTCTACGCCGATTTCAATGTGGCGACCGTGAAAAGGATACCTCCCGGAATATAATTTGTCTTGTATCAATCTCCCACTTCTTGGCTGCCTCCTTACGCAAACATGATGAGACCCGATCGATCGGGGACTTGGGCCTCCTTGTCGAAGTGAGGGGTAGTTTCGTACTCCATACCAAATTACTAATGCACATATCTCATAACCGCATTTTGTATAATCATTTTCCAGGAACAGATCTCCTGATCTCGCCGCTTGCATGTGCAGTGAACCCAATGCTGCATTGATTAACCTACGTTGTTGCATTCTTATCCGACCCTTTCGAACGCAGGGAATGGGCACGAGCCATAATTGCATAAAGTAAGCCAGCATTCCAACCAATGACATTTGCACCACAATGTGCGAATACTACCTCAAGGGAGTAATCATCCTCATGTTGATGAAGCTGAAACAATGGTAGTTATGAAGAGGCCCATATTTCCATCCTAACTTTACTTGATAAATACAACCTCAATATCCAATTTCAAGTATCCGACTTTGCGCATGACTTCTTAGTTGACGGGACATTCTTGTTCTCTTGCAGGTACAGACGATCAAAGCAGAAGCATAAAATTGCCTTTACAGCTAACCTAGTGGAACTTGGACGACACAAAAAAAGATTAATAGTGATAATAGAATAATTTGGAATGGGACTTTTAGGGGTACCCCTCACTGGCGTGGGTTATCACTACCATACTTTGTACACATCGTAAGGCACTGAAAGGGCTGTATGATCTATTTCCCTTTCATTGTCTGTCGAGGGATAGATGTGTAACCTCGGCATCGTCCACGAGTGATTTATACTCCTCCCGTTATAACCGACGGTTAAGCTCTTAGATTCTATTCTTTAACGCTAAATTATTAGTTTACATGCATATCAGAGTACTCTTTGTTCATTGCGAAAGGGAACCAGGCAGAACAGTAGTAAACTAGTACAGTAGGCAGTACTAGGTAGGGTCTGGGTTATTCAATTACCCAAATTTAAGTGTTGCTCGAATATAACTCATTGGAATCTAACGCACCCCTACCAAACTCCATCGACCCATGGACCTGGTTAATGGGCTCGGGAGGCTTTCGGTACACTTGAACGTCGGGAATATGACAGCTCTCCGTGGTGGCCACCATGCGACCAAGACCCGATGTTCGTGCCCAACCAACTGACTCTTTCATTGCGAATGATCCATGTTATCACCATTAATTACATGGATAACGGGGCATATCGCTCCAGAAACAGATACTCCGCTGCCTGCCATTGCGCTGCAATTCCCCCAATGCGAGGACTGGAGGCGCGCTTTGTCCTTGACGCCCCTGGACCTATCACATTTCCGCTGGTCTGGAACCTCAATAGCCCTTCCTTGAGGTTTATTGTGATTCTGGCTCCGAACAAATCCGGAACAGCACGAAGAAGCTAGCAGGGGACACGGTGGATAGAGCCATGTACAGTACCTACATTACTATGTACAGGAACGGAGACCCCGCGCTTACATATCAGTCTATTACCAGTGGGAATCAATTGATATTTGTTGACTTGTTTATATCATATGCATTGCTGTTGGCTGTTGCCTTTCTTCTTTTCTTCTCTCTCTCTCTCTCTCTCTTTTTTTTTTTTCTTTTTTTTTTCTTGTGGTATACATACATATTAACACACATAATATGTATGTATTGCCGCTCGTTACATGCAGGATACTCCGCACTTGAGGAGATGCCGACATAGGTATCTTACCGGAATACGTGAAGCTTGGGAAGTTTACTAGTCAACACAATTAGGGTAGAATATATTTACGAAGTATAGAGTACGTAGTGATCAGTCAGGCTTTATTTTACCCTAATATGGAAATCGCGTGGGAAATTACAATGGATGAAGAACCCCAGCAATGGCATTGGCCTAAACAGATAGGTACATTACCGTACATTCTAGGTAGTTAGCTTGCAACTCCAGTATCCTTGCTGAGGAGGCGTCCAATCGTAGGTGGCTATCATACGCGAAGAGATCAGCATATGGACAAAGCTTCCCGTGTTGACCGTCCTGTCGCAAATGCTAGCAAGGACTAGAATCCTGAGCTTTCTAATTGGAAATGACATTGCATTTGTCGTGAAACAATATCATGATGTGCATATGTGCATACCGTTTTAGACCTTCCACGAAAAAAAGAAAAAGAAAGAAAGAATAAAAAAGAAATCTCCCGATCGAATGGACCAGTCCAAAATACCATCAACTTCAGCAACCGGAAAACTAGATACTATGCTCTGGGGGTTATTATCGCCTCTTATTAATAGCAACTTTCGTTCTGAATCGTTCAAAAATAACGACATATTGGGCATAATTGTTTATTTTATATTTTGACTCTCTTTGGCATCAACACCTCAGGTAGGAAGTGAAAGGTTCCTTCTCATAGTGCCAGTATGCATTTTCCTGGCTCCCCTGATCAACAGTGACAATATCCTCAATCGACATGACATCTCCTATAGCCCTACGTGCAGCTTCGCCTCGAAGCTAGTCCAATATCACTATTCTATTGCCTCACTATTAACATATGATATCACGGACATCGTCTCTACACGGGGCAAACTTCCATGCATTTATGGAGAACGGGGTTCTTATCCGATCCCCACCGACCCCATGAGCACCAATTGTCTGGCTCGCACGCACAGACATTATAAACCCGATATTGGACGATCAGAGCCTCACTCTATAAAGATACGAGATTGGCTGGTACCCATCTCGCTAAGTTACAGGCGAGCAGAATTTCGCATTGCTCTGGAGTATTTTCGGGTAACCCTGAGAGAGGCAAAATGTATCGTCAACCGTATACCGCTTCTATCCAGGGGAACGAGTGCCGTAGCTGCCTTAGTATGGTAGACAAATAGCTAGTGATTCAGCTTCCATTCATGTTAAGGTAGATTTCATAATCTATGTGGGGGCTTGGTGGGGTATCTCTGACGTGGGACACCTGCTCTACTTTTCGCTCTCTGTTCTAGGACTCGGTCGATGCACTCGAGTGGAGTTAGTCTTTTGCTAGGAGTCACTAGTCATCTGCCTTTCTCATATATCTCTTTGATTAGCTGATACGTCTTTTGGGTTGAGTCACCCCCACTGTCAATGGGATAAGCATTCCCAGCAAGATCACCTGCTTTCCAACACAACCGAGCGTCTACTGCGGCTTTCTCTTCGGAAATAGACATTCGTCTCTCTATAAGGATGCATGCGGCTATGCGAGTAATAATACGCGATAGCAGATAGCGGATATCAATTCGTGACCTTCCTTACCCACACTCGCCTAGCCTCAACCAGCAAATGAAGCTCCAGGGGCCAAATTGATCTTCTATCGCGCTGAATGACCCCCTGATCAATCTGTGGAACTGACAATCTAACCGGATGACTTGTTACTTTTAAGGTGTTCAGAAAGATCAAGATCATGCAAGGCTTGCTCCTTCTCATTCCGACCATCCTAAAGAAGGTCATCTTGATCAGGAAACCCATGGACGACGCCACATCTCTTTTCATCTATTAAAGACGAAGGAGGAAAGAAGAACAGGTCAGAACGCAACGCATCGGAGAATTCACGATTGAGGCAGCTAAGTACAGCATACTTCCACTCTTCCTTGAACGTCCCCCCGAACCCTATGTCGCTCTGATATGGATATCGGATCGCCGGGTCATTTATCAGAATACCAGGACATGGAAATGTACGGAATTAAGCCAGCTGGTACGACACTCTCGTCGCCTTGCCGTGCAAGGTGAAAGCACACAAGCCTAGAGATATGCGTTACATCCTTTTTCTCAAGCGCACGAAATGCTTCGATCTCATATCGATGCAGGGATACACGGCGGATATACGCTTGGGATGTCCGAGCCTCTCCGGGTCAAATGGTGGTACCTGCGCAACGGATCTTAGGTGCACGCCGTCTGCCATATTTGTCAGATACCAAGGGAATAATGCAAGGAATACCGCACGACCTTACTATATCCAAACCTCCATTGAATATTGTGCGCTCAGGCCATCCTGCTCTTTTGCAGAGAACACGCCCCAGATGCCGCTTGGAGAAATAGAGCAGTGCTACACTTCTTTTGGGAGATGACTGAATATCACTTTCCTCCAGGTACCTGACGGCTCATCAGGGAAGGCAATCCTTTCGTTGTACCAGTCGTTGGGGTGGGACCAAGTCATAATAGCAAGGACTAGTGGCAGTAGAGTTCCTAGTCCTATGAATTATTTGGTGTCAAGCGTCTAAAGTGACCGTAGCGATGTAGGTAGAGAGTAATGCACAGCTAGGGCCGGAGACGCAATGTCGTGGATTAAGCCACATAACAACCGGTAGGGTAATATCAAGCATCGCTCTGTGACATCAAGACCGTTCCTCTAGGTAATTTACTTAAGGAGCACTGCGCTCCATTTACGCTGTCAAGTTGTTTCGAGAACAACCCTCCAACAGGCATACAAAGGCAAACCCCCAATAATCTTTAACCAGAAGATGAGGTAACCGTCGAGAAATAGATTGCATGGCTAGGTATATTTCTCAAGGGGACCAGGATAGAATTAGGTACATACTATGTATGCCTCTAGTGCGCTAAGTCGACTCGTCTACTCGAAAGCAAGTACACGTCGAATCCGTATTGAATACGGAGCATTGAAAGTTAAAGGGAATCAAAAACAACTCGATCAAGATAGACGCACCAATGATCGTGCATCAATTTGGTAATTTTTGAAATTGTACCTACAGATTATCCGACATGCAGGATCTCCGTATCCTGTTCATGTTATACAGCACACAGGTAATAGTGCATATGAGAATACCATTTTAGCATTAAAGAATACAATATACCATAGCCTTTGACCTATCTTATGGGTAGAGATGTCTATTTGAAAAGAGGATGGGCACTGCCCTCTAGTATGCTCTACTCAGTATAGCTGATGTAGGTACTTGTTTATCCTTTGCAAACAATATGCACACGATACCCCCGAGGTATTCTCTTTTTGCTATGCACCCATGCATTGAATAGCACCAATAATAAAGGTAGCGCCGTAGTAACCAAATAGAAGGAGAGACGATTCGCTCTAAACGTATACACACAAAGTATCAAAAATGTAGCTGGAAAGCTCATGTAAAGCCAATGCATCTGACCATAGAGAGCAGCGATATCCTTTGTGTATATGTATGATTTAGATACATATATCGACTCTATAGGGTTGAGGATGCTGGATCAATAATGACCAAAGCTAGAGCCACCGTATCTCAGGTGCGCCGCAGGAGGTGATGGAATATAGTCCATATCCCTTTGAACACCTCAAGTCGCTCCTCTGCATCGAACAAATCATACCATTTTGTTCGCCGCAGGTGCAGCACATGCCATGGTTGTCCAGTAGAGTCGGAATTGGGGGGAAACTCGCTGTCTCCCAATGTCACGATGTCGAGGTATCGACGGTGGACTCGCAAATGTAGGATAGCCAGATGATGGTTGATGGAGGAGAGCATATAGATCTGTGGCAACTCAGTCAGCATCATTGCATACCTTTTATACTGGAATCACCTACATCGTCAAATAGGCTCTCTGGGTCCTTTCCAATCTGGATATATCTCATCCGTTTGTCCCAAAGACCGGGGCCTGGCTGGACAAGCTTCCATTTTTCGCTGTTACTCAGCTTCCGCGAAGACCCAGGTCGACGGGATGCTAAAAATGGATGCTCATATTTGGAGCGTTTGCGAGAGCTCCCATTGTCCGGTACTGGCTTCTCGTCGCCATCGGTAAAGTTGCCGCTATCCCCCACTGCATCATTGGGCGCACCACCCCATCGAGGCCTTGTTGTCCACCATTTCCCTTCGCCGGGTCTTGTTTCTGTCATTCCTTGCCGTGCTCGTTCCTGGGCAACTAGAAGCATGGCACCGACCTCACGAAACAAATCGCACACCTCACCAAATCCAGTACCAGGGACATCATCAGGCGCTCGGAAGCATGTTTCAGGTCGGCACTGGGCGGAAAAGACGGGCCCCTCCATGACACCACTTCGTGCTAACTGACGGTCTTTAGGTGATCGAGCAGCCGCGAAGGTCTGGCGGACAGGGAAGAGCAATGTTCGGAGGGACAATCTCGGGGGGAGCACGGGAAGGGCAACTTGACACCCAAAGGGCCATGCCGCCATTTCGGTAAATGCCCTAATCGTTTCGTCGCGGATATCCTCTGGCATTTCATGACCTGCACCAATGCGACGTCCTGTGTACATCTTCACGGGTTCATGCTTTCCATCTTCCTGGTCGGTAGATTTATCTCCGGAGGCCGTAGGTTTTGGTGGGTTCTCAATGTCCATCGGTGTATCTGAGTTTTGCTGGGCCGCAGACGACGGCGCTTCAGCTTCAGTCTGCATTATATCTTCAGTCTCTCCATCAGTCGCGTCATTAGGGGTTGCAGGGCGTTCAAAATAGTTATCCAGGCTTGTGTCCCAGTATTGAGCCATTCGTTCTAGCCCCGTCCAGAATTTCCGTGTCTGGGTCACCCGGACCCTTTGACGCCCCTCACGAGGGCCTAGCCTTGCTACCTCTCGAAACGCATCATCGTTTTCCAAAAGTAGCTCGTCCTTTAAAACTTCAAATCTTTCCTTCGCCGGGTAGGGATTCCCATTTTCCATCAAGATCGGGCAACCATCTTCAGTCAATGGGGATGGATTCGGTGAAGTGTCCTTCCAGGGCACAGGAGGGAAGAAATTCAGACCATCCTTATAGACAATACTTGAGGCCGGAAGATCTGTTTCCACCTTCAGATTGAGGGTTTTGAACTTCTCAGGCGTTATATCTTGTGGCTTTCTGATGGATGCTAGAATTTCATGCACCTGTTGTAAAGAGGCCTCTGGCTCATTATTCGTGGAATCGGGAAGCTTATAGGCCGGGAAGTCTAAAGGTGTTGGGCTAGATGGAGCTCGTCGTTCCCTGTCAGGCTCCGAACTCACTGAGGGGAAGCCTGTGTTAACAGTTAGCCCAGATATTGAATTAGTCACGGCCATGAGATTCGCCCAGCTGAAGAGGGCGCTAGGCTCATGTTTGGCCTTGGTGGCAGACCAGATGAATTATAGAGAGATGAAAGTTATACAGACAGACAGCTAACACTGGTTTGTGGAGCATGCCAGAATGATGAACTTGGCATCCCGCGTTGTCCACATAGCCGCTGTATCCGCAATTGATTCATGTGGACATGTTGGTGGACGAAACACAATCATGCGTGGGGTTTCAAGCAATGTGATAATGAAAGAGAGGAAGGAAGCCTTACCCAATGAACTACACCATCCGAACATGATACGGGGCTTCTACCTAGAGACAATGACTACTTTGGTCGCAGAAAAACATCAATCAGATCAAGGATTCTAGAGAAGTCTTCATTTAGGATTTCTTGCAAAGCGAACGAAGCAATGGACCAAATCACATCTGCTGTCAGTATGAGGGCTTGAGGGCTTGAGGGGTCAGGTGCGGACGTGGGGTTGCCAAATAAAAATAAGCAGAAAGTTTGGTTAGGATAGGGGCAAATAAATGGTAAAGTGTGGACCAAGAGGAAGGGGGGCAGGAGAACCAACCGTGGGATAGAACAAGTCACAACCAAACAATGAAAATCTGGTAGTGGTGTTTTGGTGAAAGATAGGAAAAGGGACCAGAAGACAATGGAGGGGGACAAAGTGATGGGCCGTTAACTACCTTGGTTTGGGCGTCTGGCTAGTATGCGGAATTGCGGATTAGTTCATTGCTAGTGTTTTTCGTGGAATAAGCGGTTTAGATAATAATTAATCACTGTTAATTAATACGGTTGCCCTTGACAATTGCGGATTAAATTATCAGGTATCCCTCCTTCTTTAGCCAGGCCAATTGGGATGTAATGGTGTGGTGCTGCGTGAGGTATGTTTTTCCTTTTTCTTCTGGGGGCAATAACATGGATATGGTAGAAAAGCCCCAGAAAAGGGCGACAGCGACTTATTCTGTTCCTTTGGACGACGGGCATGCTGCCAAGTACGTAAGTGTTATGCAGCCCTCCATCAAAGGTATCTAGTCAACCATTTGGAGTCGATTTCTCCACCACGACTGTTGAACGGCTGCCAATCGTGATTGACATCTGGGGCGGAGTTGGAGCTGATCCCTGTGGCTTAAAAATTAGAAAGACCGATTGGAATTGTCTCAAGACTGCTATTGAGCCTTGACAGATAAAATAAATGGTTTTCCTAATTATTTGTCTGGCAGATCTGAAGCAGTTCGGAACGATCCACTCTTTTCTCGAAGTGGAGGGTTTAGAGAAGAAGGGGGAAAAATAAAAAAGAGAAAGAAAATCAATACAATATTGTTTTCGATTACCCTACCGTCAATAAAGTCCATCTCTGTCACCAGTAAGAATCAGGCTGAGTGACAATCTGAGTCAGCATCCACATGACATCACATGAGCAGAGGGGTGCTAGGTGGGACGTGGATTAAATCCTATACCAGCCTTTACCCAAAAGTGGGCCTTTTTGCACCTGACCTGCACCTGCACTGCAAAAGCAGTTTCCTGGTTGGATCATCGGGGCGCAAATCTTCATTCATTAGTTTATTGATTAACCTTCAGCCTTTTTTTCTTGACCCTGACAGCCCTTCTTATTTTTATCTTCAATCCTAGGACAATCGATCTTAAATTTGTTCCATGTTTGTTTTGCCAGAGAGTGAGAGAAAGGGGGGCTGGAGAACCGTTAGAGTTCACACATGCAGGTGACCAATGTCACAGAGAAAGGGATTGGATATCCTAGATGAACAGTGTTTCATCCTTTCTTCTGCGAGTCAACAGCCATCTATCCCCTGCGTGAGCTTCACCGAATAATGTTTTCCTTGTCGACTGTTGTGGTCTGTCCGCGTTTTGCTACAAAGCGCCCAGGTAAACCACGAGTTGTCAATTGATCTTGCCCAACTTTTCCCTCTTCTCTGAGATCTTACTGTATTATCATTATCATTGTTCTATCTTTTCTACTTCTTCTTGCCTGGTTGCCTTCTTTCATATCCTCTCTGATATATATATATATGTTTGTGCGATTCATAATCCCACACTAGCTTCCCCCCTCTCTCTAGATCACTCGAGACTGCTTCACCATCCTATCCTGAAACGACAGGATTCAGAACGGGTGAACGGGTCCGACACCTATTGTCATGGCTTGTTCTCTGCATTTTGTAAAGTGAGAAAGATAATGAGAAGATTCTAACATGCTTATGTCTGTGACTTCCCACCCATAGTCTCCAAGGAATTTGTATCCACGTTCATTTCGGTTGGATTTCTGTATTGACATCGTCATACGCGCAGTCTACCTGACTGTAACCTTCTCGTTTCCCTTCTTTTCTTTTCTTTTTGTTTTTTTTTTTTTTTACCTCATTTATTTTCTCCTGTATCATCAGACTCACCTACACGACGCCTCTCTCTGGTATAGCAGAACCATCGTCACGTCCATCTAGCCCGCGGGCTTGACGACATGTCAATGCCCAGTCCTTCCGTCATCTTTCATCAGGGCTTACGATGTTCTAAAGTCCCGCGAAGATCTGCGGCGCTTGTGTCGCCTTCCACCGATCTCTCAGCATCGGCATCTTTCCCTGTAACTCCAACTCCATTTAACAACCTACTCTTAAGTACAGATCCAACGCCGAACGTTGAAACTTCCTTGCGCTATGACCCTGCCACATCGAGTATATTGCAAGTGCCGGCATCAGAGACGACTACAACAGCGCCTACCCCAATACCAACCCATCTACCACTCGTCACCTCTTTCACTGTCAGTGATACAGTTGGAGATTCATCTTTTTCGTTTACAAAGGGCCGTCCAGAGGCATATAGCTTAGTGTCGTCATATAGTTCTGAGTATCCGACGCTAGAACCAGTCGCATCAAGCTTATCTAGCCATCTCTCGAGCTCGAGATCATCAGAGACTTCCTCAACACGTACCTCTTTCACAAGCGTGCCTTCTACAGCCGTTACATCGACGGCAACGGGAGAGATCACTCATGAAAATGGCTCGAATCAGGATATTTCGCCTTCGTCTGCGAATGATGATACACATACCTCACGCCAAACATTACTAGGCAGCATACTTGGCGCAATGGCCTTCATCACAGCCGTGGTTCTAATCTGTCTGTTATTTTTCAGACGCAAACGGAGAAAATCAGGTCGAGATCAGGGTTTTGGAAGAAACGAAAAGCTTTTTGGAACGGGTCGGCAATCAGCAGATTCCTCGATTGGATTACAACACGAATACTACCCTGCAGGGTCTATGTGCTCTCATTACAATCCTGCCCCGAGAACGATCGCCCACTACCGGGACCACAGTGATGGAGCATCGGCGCACTTCTCAGATCCATTTTCAGACTCTGCAGAACTACATGGAGGATCACGAAGCAGTATACCTAGGGTTGAGAATGCACCTCAGACTTTCTTTGTAGACTCAAAGGACGATGAAAAACCGTGTAAATCACGGGCGAACCTGCCGCAACGAACAGTTTCTGATAGCTTTTTACCGACCGTCCATGTAGCAGGACAAACGCCAGATCAGCAATCTATCCATAGCAGCGATCGCAGCTTGGGCAGCACGCTCATTCTTCCAGGACGAAGCAGTCTAGGGAGCAGCTTGCAGAGATTCAGTTACCGGGTTTCTGTGGTAGAGCTTGAGCCGTCCGGCGCAAACGAAACAATAACTAAGATCAGCCCTCGGAGCACACGAAGCGACCCGTTTGACCTGGAAGTTCCAGCAAAGGTGGTGATGCACCCACTTGGTTCGGTTACACAGCTAAGATCCCAGATCTAGCCTCGTGAATCAAAGGACCAAACAGATCGTCGCTGCCGAGATATTCCATAAAGAAGGGGAAAGGTGGTGATGTGTGTCTCTACAATAATACATGAGATATGTGACACGAGCCATGAACGTCTCTTACATTGATTGGCGTCTGAAGAGGAATACTAATACATGGAATGGTTGTATTTGATATGATTCGTCGCAGCATACTGTACTTTAGCCTTTTTTCTCTTTCAGCCCTAGCTGGGCAAGCGACCACTATTTCTGTACGATAGGTTGATAATGTAGTATCAAAACTGTTCGTTGTTAACTTTCCCTGATATACATCTTCGGTTGTCGGATTGGTTGTTTAACCATGAATTAGTTCTCTGTCCATACCATATTATAATAAAATATATCCCTCTAAGTTGCCTAACAAAGAGGGAAGAGGGGTTCAGCAAGGTTTCAATCGTTGGATATATTCTTCCTTCTAAAAGGAGGGCAACGAGAAGTAATATGCTATATCTTGTTTTCTGTATTTAATGCGTTTGTGTGGTGTGTGGGGTAAACAGGTAATGCCTGATAATATATCGTTGTTAAAACTCAGAATACCCACCACTTTTATAAATAACAAAACAAAGAGGCCCTAGGTCACAATATAACGATCAGTAGCTCGCTTCGTACCGATGAAGAGGGGGAGAAGGATTGAGGAAGTCTAGAAGGGGTGTAATGGAGGTTGTATATCCACCGAACTGCCTGGTGTTTGTAATTTGTACTTCCTTGAGGGTCAGGGGTCTAGACCTAGAATACACAACGCAATGGCATAGAGTTATGCGATGTGTGGAGAGATACCCGGTACATTACTTCATGGAGAAATTTACACTGTAGAGGACTACAGGCGGATGACTCATTACGGGGAATTATCAGATATTCACATTTACGTGACCTAACCCTCGAGTGAGATTCAGTAAAACGTTACGACATTAGGAGTTAAGATAGACGCGGTGAAGAACAGCCTGTTTTGGGGAGGTTGAGCATGAGAGGAATGTTGACGAGAAGTTGGACATCCGGGCATCCTTGGACGATTGAAGAGCAGTTGAAGTAGAATGCAAGATGAAAAATCGGAGTATTCATATCACACAAAGCGCCATGCCATTGTTTTTGCTTTAATCAAATGGTATTTTTCATTCTTTTCCCTGGCTCTCTTTTCAGAGGGCCCATGGAAGAAAAGAGATGCATTCATATCCTTCTGTTTCCCCAAGCCCGCGTTCCAGGTTCACCCATGTACTATAAAACCGTCCCGGATGAATCAAGAGCCATAGAACCTGGAAAGAAAACAGAAAATGGTTGACCTGAACTTATCCTGTTGGCCGACCGAGACTCTTGATTTCTCCTCCCAGTTCAACCTTCGCACCGCCAAAACACGTTGTCAACGGAAGGGAATTTACTCCTGGGCCTCGCCGGCCAGAGCATTGCGCTTAGCCTCGAGACGCTCCTGACGCCTCTCACGGAGAGCCTTGTTCTTGGCACGCTTAGCGTCCATCTCCTCCTTGAGAACACGCTCACGGTGTCTCTCAGCCTTGGCCTTTTGGATCTATTGAAGTAAAAAACATCAGTTATTGGTTCCTGTGTCACGTGTGGGGAAAGTTGCGAGTATTATCGAGGCCCCGCGTAAGGGGCGCGTTAACAGAAATGTGATGATTGTGTAAGAGCGTGTTGGGCGGAAACTTACGTGCTCAACAAGAGCGCGCTTGTGCTTGAAGGTGTTACCCTTGCTCAGGTGGTAGAGCTCGTGATAAAGGTGCTTGTCGATCTTGCCAGCAGCACGGTAGCGGACGAGGAGGCGACGGAGAACACGCATGCGGCGCATCCAGAGGATCTGGCTATATTACACAATAATCCATCAGCAAAATTTCCCACCACAACAACGCCCATCACGATATTATCCATCGATCGTGGACCAGCGACGAAAGGAGTAGGGTCCAACTGCATACCTGGGCATACGGGCCTCCTTGGTACCCTTACGCTTACCCAGACCACGGTGTCTGCCCTCTCTGCGGGCGAGGTTGAGCTCACGGGCACGAGAGCGGGAGTGCATGGTGACGGGCTTGCGGATGATGAGGCCATCGCTGACGAGCTTGCGGATGGTCTGACGGGAGTTGGCGTTGGAGATCTCATTCATCTCATTAGGGTCGAGCCAAATCTTGCGCTTGCCGCAGCCCACCACGGAGGCGGCCAGGCGCTTCTGGGTGCGAAGGTTGACCCTGTGGAGGAAGAACCGTCGGTCAGTATGAAGCCCAAATCGATCGAACAAATTGTGTTCCCAGTAGGAGTCCCATAGCGGATCGGAAGTGCGTAACTATGGCCAAGAAGACCACCTAAGGACGGCCGTTCCTCCGTAGGACCACAATATCACGATTTGGAGATGGAACTCACATCTTGATGTCGGCGTATCGACGGTCGTTGGCGGATGATGTTCGTTGCACTCGTCGACGGGTAGAAATCCAGAGGTGAGGAGTTTGAAGATACGGCGGTTGATTAGCTCAGCAACTGTGCTTCTAAGCGAGAAGTGGATCCATTAGGGCTTGTGCCCCAGATATCTGATACCGTATCATATCTGAGTCGATCGGATAATTGGTACATAGTACTTATATACCCTACTCCTAAGGCTAACTAACGACGATAATCCTCACCTACGTCTTCTTAACTTTCTGAAATGTCACTCATGAAACGATCTTTTGTACGGTCCTCGGAGCAGTATGGTACTCCAGATTCGAAGCTGATTGGTGACACGTGACCGTACTCTGGTTGAAACTGACCGCCCGACTTAGGCAGTACTAATAAACTACTGTACAGCTGAGTAACAAAGAACAAAACAGTAAATATAGAATAAAAAGCGTTGGTCACATGTCTCCTATACTTTTTGGTTTGCCTGTGTATCTTCTTCTCATAGACAAGTATAACAACTCACCCATCCTCGTAGAATAATAATAAACGGGTATATAGATCTAGTTCATGCACGATCGCTGAATAGAACCTACCATATCCCATCACTCATCCATAGGCCCTTCCCCAAGATCGACCTTCCCAATACTCCACACTTCTTTCTCATCATCCACTTCGTCGTTGGACAGACCCAGGCCTCCTTGGCCACCTTCAGCTTCCTTGCGTTCCCGAGATTGATTAGCCAGACGTAGCGCAACTCGCTTGAAGTAATCCGACATGCTCCGCTTAGGTCCCGGGGCAAGTTCGGCCCCGGCCCCAGCCATATATTTATCAAACACAGCGCTCTCGGACTCCACGACCGAGAAGATAGCCAAAAAGGCAGCCTCGGCCGCCAATTTCACGGGAATGACAACGTCGCGAACGCTGGCGAAGATCGGGGGTGCAAGCAGAGACAGATGAGGCCGAGTTAACTCCGGATGAAGTCGGCTGACCGTCCGCATAACAACCAGTGCTAAACGACGCGTGTCAGAGGGCGCGCCCGGCTGAATGCACGGTGCCAAAGCTTCGAAGATAGCCTTGTTATTCTCGAAATTGCGGTGTTCATCTTCGACTAATAGGTATTTTCCAGCCGCCAGAACACTGTTGTCGGCAATGAATGTCTTTTCTAACGTTAGTATCCTTGCCTATGAACGTGTAGATCACACGTCGACTCACATCCTTATTCGTAACACCCTGACAGATGACCGACAGCGTTTCGGCGCCGAAATTCTCAGTCAAAGACGAAGGGCACTCAACAAGCAAGGCGTTGAGTCCTAGAACCGATCCATGCGTAAGGTGTGGTGTAAGCACACGGTTCCTTTCGATTAAGTTAGTCAGTTCGTGCCTTCCCGAGGCAAAATGTATGGAAGATTGAACGTACTTGATAAGAGAGGTTGCACTGGCTGAAGGAAGAACCTTCACCAACGCACCAAGTAGCTTGGCGTTCGTAATAGCCACAGAATCTACTGGGGACGGTTAGATATGCAATGGAGCTTCAAGTAGACTATGATAAACCTTACCGGTTTGGGCGCTGGCATCGTCATCGATGAGCGCAAGGATAGAGTTCTTGGAAGCCTCACTCATGTTGGCTCCAGCCTTGCCAACCACCTCTTGAAGGGCTTTCATCATCGCATTCCTGACGCCAACGTCGGCGGTCTTGGTTCCCGTAATAAGCTCTAAGATTCAGGTCAGCGTCTACCCTGTGTCCGTAGGTCAATAGGGTAAGAAAAACTGTACCGGCAATAAGGGGATCCACTCTTGGAGTCAGCGTGATCAAAACTCCAAGACCCTTGGCAGCCCTGTTGCGCAGAGTTTCACTGGTTGTGTCCGCCAGGCCCCTTGCAAACGTCCGCTGTAGCTGAGGCAAGAATGGCTTGACAGCAAGTGGGATCTTCTCCAAAAGCTTATTGAGAGTATAGAAGATCGCGCCTAGCCAGTCAGATTAGCTTGCTGTAAGCAACACACTTCCGAAGGAAGCACGAATAACCTACATTTAATTTCTACCGAACGTTCAGACACCACTCGGATGAGAGGACCTGTGATCTGCGTCACGAACAGTTTTAAGGAATCTGCTGCAGTACGATCGATGACGTCGCCAATGGCAAGAGCTGCCTGTGTACGCTGCTCAACGCTGCCGTTAAGAAGAGCCTGCAGGAAGATCGGCAATATAGCGGTGATACCCTTTGGCAAGCTGAAACCAGGAAGGTTGGCTCCGGGCACACCTACTCCCCGCAGGGCCTGGCGTGTGGGGATAGCCAGCACCTCCATTTCCTCTTTGCGCATATGGGAGGTTAGGCCACTCAGCGCCGTCCAGGCAGCCTTGACAACACCTTTGTCGCTGTCATCGAAGGAAACCAGCAAGACACGAATCAAGTCTTGGTGGTACCTAGAGTAGTCGATTGTAGCATCCGAGAAGAACTTGGTAAGGTGGGCTGCTGCTTGAGCACGTCGTAGATGATCATCGTGCTTCAGTAGTGACAGCATGACATTAACAACAGCGTTCAAGCCATCAAATTCATCCACAGATATCAAGACAGTATCAAACGCGTTGCCCAATTCTTCGCGGAGCGAGTCGTCGGTAGCCGATATGATATTGTCCATCAGAGCGTTCAAGATTGCGGGGAGCCTGCGTGTCATCGCAGAGCCTGCCACCTCGGCAAGGGAGGCAAGTGCCTTGGCGTTGAAAGATGAGATGGGAGATGTGAGTAGTGTCGGGATAAGGTTGGGAAGGATAATGTTGGCCCGAGTTTGCTCGGTGAGAAGAGTCAAGAGTGCCGACAGTGCTTGCTCAGCCTCCTCATCGTTCCTCAACAGCAGCAGAAGGTGAGGCAGAACTTGATCGACAGCCTTCTTGCCCAGAATTTGCTGTAAGGCGTCAAAAGCTTCTGCTGCAGCTTCGCGCACATCTTCATCGTTATCAACGAGAGCCACCCGAACGGTAGAGATGAGAACTTTCTCGTAATCCTCAAGGGCTTCGACAGTTGCAGAGGTAATAAGCTCGCGCAGCGCAATGCAGATGCCTTGCTTAACGTCCACATCTGGCGATGTTTGGAGACCTTCCTCAAGAGAAGGAAGCAAAGTCGAGAGGACGGTTTCGCCGGCCTTCTTGATAAGATCTCCAAGTGCATTGCTGGCAATGACCTTCTGCTCCATGTTCGAGGATCCAAGACGACGGATAATCAATTGAGAGAGAGTAGGCACCATATCCTTAAGAGTCCTAGGAGATGCAACAAGCGACTTCCAAACACCCGATGCTGCGCTCTTAACAAGACCCGAGGTATCGCAGCGACAGATGAACAAGGCAGATAGGACCCTGTTCCTTCTCTCTTCTCCAAGGATCTCCAACAAGGACTGTCCGGCTTGATGAACTTCTTCTGGCTCGTCCTCGCTGTCAGCCTTGGCTGTGATACCAGTGATGCTGAAGAGCAGATCACCGACCAGCTCAACAGAGCTCAACCGGATACGGTAACTGTCGTCCGCAAGGCCGCGTTCGAGCTCTGGAAGAAGAAGGTCAATAGCCTTGGAAGAAAAGTTCTTAACCAGTAAACGACCAGCTTTAAGGGAGGTTTCGCGGATGGAGTCGACATCATCAGCCAGACCAGAGAGGATAGGCGGGATAATCTTGCCCAGGTAAGTAGCGAAGCTGTTACCGAAACAGGCCGGAAGGAAGATAAAGAGAGTCATGAAGCCTTCACGAACAGCGGGTTTGGAGCTGGAGACGTTCTGCAATATAGTAGGCAGCGTCTCCTCGAGTCTTGTCGTACCCAAGCCTGCCAAAACCTCTGAAAGGGCTTGAGCAGATCCCAATCTATCACCGGCACCCGTATCAGACTTGAGCGTAGACATGAGATTAGGAATGAGGTCGGGAAGAGCATCTTCTCCGAGCTTCTCGATAAGTGACCCAAGGGCCTTGGACGCAGTAGCACGAGTAGTGGGCACAGGATCGACGATAGCCAGCTGCAATCCGGATACAATGATTGGCAAGTGCGATGTGAGATCTTTGCGCTCGGTAAGATGAGCCAAACTTCCGATAATCTGCGCAGACTTCCGCTTTGTATTCGATCTGTCGCCAAGACCACGCTCCAAGATACGAACAACAAGTGCCAAAGAAGGAGCATCCAGATAATGAACGAATGAAACCTTGATAAGGGAATCCAAAGCCTCGTCCGTATGCTTTGTTGGATCACTCAGTGCCTTCAGAAGCACGCTAACCAGGCTCTTGATCTCTGGGTTGCTGATTACCTCACCGAAACGTTGGAGACTCCGATTTGCAGCGTTACGCACTTCCTTGTGCGTATCATTGAGGACAATCGTGAGCGGGGGAATAATAGCAGGCAAGCTAGCTGCTAGCTGCTGCGGATCAAGATAAGCCATTGCACCCAGCAAATCACAAGCACCCTTCTGACTGCGCCATTGCGTATCATCAAGACCATCGAGAAGAGTAGGCAGGATTTTCTTGACACCATAAGAGCTGAGATTGGAAAAGCAAGCTTTTGCCGCATCAAGGCAGGCGTCACGAACATCGGCATTGGGATCACCAAAGCTAGCTAGAAGCTGGGGTACGATTTGAATAACATATGGTTCAAAAGTACGACCAAGAATTGTCGCAAACAGTTCGTAAGCCAGTAAAGCACCTTGTCTCTGGTTTGGTTCCTTCTTGTTTTCTGTGGCGGCGCGAAGATGGGACATGATCTGGAACTCTCGTAAGGAGAATACACCTCTCCCGCTGACAATGCCAGCAAGTCCATAAGCTGCTCCGCGTTGAGTGGCATACTTCTTGGACTGTAGAAGCTGGTCCAGCATCTCCTGGACGTATCCCGCACTTTGAGAGCCTGACAGTCTGATGAGAGGTGGAAGACACTCAGAAACAGCAGATTGAACAGATTCAGAAGGAGTCGGAAGAGTAGCAAGGAGTCTCTTGATAACTGTTTGCAGACGCGGATCGTCCGCTTTAAGATGCCGGGCTAGAGAGCCATAAAGGACTACCACGGCTTCATTGAGAAGGTCGGAGGTTTCACTTCCCTTGTCTGATGTTTCCAATGTTGTTTCTAAGATATTCATTAACTCCTCAACCTTGTACTTGCCGCGTTCGGCGATGACAGATCTGCCGCTATCCGCCATCTGAGCTCTGACCACAGAGCTTCGATCAATAAGAGGCCCTCTTTCGATCAGGAATCTGAGGAAAGAGACAATCTGTTCGCCCTCAAACCCTTTGGTCATAGCAGTGAAAGCCAGTGCAATACCGCTACGGAATTCCCAGTGATCAGACATATCCATTTTCTTGGGCATGCCGTACATATCCTTCTCAGGCGCTTTAGGCGTAGCCTCTCTTTCGTACGTAGTTTGTAGTTCCGAAACGATCTCACCAAACTTAGCTGGATTGGGCTCAAGGGCATGTGCCAAGGCACGAGCAGCAGCACCTCGGAGCTGCGAGTCCTTCGAAGCAAGATATGGGATAATCTTTCCGTACGAGGAGTCGTCAACTTCTAGTGCATTATCTTCCCAAATTGTCTCAGCCATTTCGGCATTCTCTTCCACGTGGTCATGGCATTCGAGCCAGATGTGTTCAGAGAAGTCTAGATCAGTCAAGTCGATCTCGGCATCGATGGCCTGCAGTACCGCGGTTCGGACAGATGTATCTGGCACAATGGCGCCTTTCAGGAGGATATCTAGTTCATTGCTGCTAATTTTGGGTGATATGCACCTGCAGAAATCGAACAGGGTGTCTTTAATCAACTTATAATGCTGGGTATACTTTTGCATTGAAGTGAGCAAGTGATCTAGGACTTCAGCACGAGGAAGACGATCATCGGTAAATGAGCCCGAATGGAAGGACAAGAACTCAACCGCAAGTAGCACCTGTTCACCTTCTGCCTCTCCCTTTTTTTCATCAATTCCATTCCGACCAAGAACAAGGAGAACTAAGGGAAGTATGTACGCCAGAGATGTGACATCAAAAGGGCGTTGTTCGGAGGCAAACCGCATGCGATAGAGAATCCTTGTTACAAGTTGTCCAAGGGGCTCTGCATCCATCTCAGGAGAAAGTTGGCTCTTGCCAAGTGCTCGCAGGGTCGCAACACCCACAAAGGGCCGCAAAGGGCCCAGACGCGAAGATATCTTCTCCGCGCACTTAAGATAGGCTCTGGAGACGACATCGCCAGCAAATAAGCCTGCACCAGCCTGCACAAGAGACAGCAGAGAGCCCACAGCAGTATTAATCCAGCCATCCGCTTCGACTGCCGGATTACTTGCAAGACCTCGCATAATTCCAGCGCCTCTTTCGATCCTTTTCACTTCCCGCAGGACTTCTTCACGAATCTTCGACTCCTTTGCAAGTTGGGCTTTGACTTTAGACTGCTCATCCGCAGTCAGTTTCTTCTGTTTCTGACCCGTTTTTTCTGCCAATTGTGCTCGTAACTCCTCTTCCCACTTGAGAATGTCATAGTCTTTGGTGTTCTTGTCGAAAGCCGACTTGGACTTAGTGCTAAGAACATCAACGAACATGGTGCCTTCTGGGGTCCGAGCGATGGCAACGTCGGTTGGAGTGAACTTGGATACTCGAGAGACATCCAAGTCATCTTTGATTTGGGCCACGAGCCGGGGAACCATAACGTCAGGTGCCACGAAAGCCAATTCTCCGGCTGCGCTCCAGATAGCAGCATCTACCTCAGGAACCCTGGACTGTACTGGATCTTCATGTACCCGAGTCAGTTGATTCATAGACTCATCGGGAAATTCGCGGACGAGATTGCCAGGGTCAATGCCAGTTCTCAGGCATAGCGCAATCCAGGAAACACTGGGTATCAGCTCTGGGCGGCAAATGACGATGAGCTCCAAAAGCTGGTTTTTCAATTCTAAAGCGACTCCCTCCGAGTCCTGGAGGCTTGAAGCAGGTGGACAAATGGCTCTTGAAACCAAATGAAGGAACCTCAGGCTTTCGGGTCCTGCAGAAACCGGCGCAGATTCTTTCTCGCCAGTTCTCAGAGAAAGTATCCAAGCCCATAAAGCATTTGTGATGATGCGACCAATGAATCCTACACGCCTAATATGGATTCCAGACAGCACACTAGCGGAATGTTCTCTGAAGTTTGAATGGAGGCCGGGAATGGTGATAGCATAGATAAAAGCCTGACCCCACGCGAGCTTAGCTGCGTCTTCTGTGCTCTCGAATGTAGCTCCAGAGGAAACAGCTGCAAGCGTCCTGGTAACCCATTCGGCCTCTGCTTGAGTGGTTAACTTTGAGTAGGCTTTGGGGTTTAGAAGTAGAGATGGCTTTGGGCTCAGCACCATCATCTGGGCCACCAAATCTTCCCATACGGCCTTGTCGAAGCCTTGTACCGTAGATAAGCGCTCAGCAAGTGCGAGAAAGATATAGGCTGTTGACAACGAGCCGCTTTGAGCCGACGGTAAGGGGTTAGAAGACACCTCGTTGAAGAGGTCCTTCATTTTACTCATAAATTTAGTCACAAACGGCTCAACCTCAGCACTAACCAGGGCTGCGGCATCGGCATTCCAGAGCAAATCTCCGACGTTGAGCTGCCAAAGCTTTCGGAATGGAATTCTCTTTTCTGCAACTCCCTTCACGATGGCGTTCACGACATCGTCGCTGGCCTTTACCTTGTTTTGGACGAGGAATGCAAGGTGTTTACTAAATGCTTTGATTCCCTGTTCCAGTGCAGCTTCGTTGGATTCTCGTGTGAATACAGGAACAAACCCCTGGACTACCTCCTTCGAGATATCTGTAGAAGGCAGCGTAGCAGCGAGTGCCTGAGCGTAGGCGGCGCGCTGCTCTGGGTTCGTGATTTTCTGGGTCTTCAAAGGACCGACAACTTCGCTTGTGACTTTAAGAAGTAGGCTCTCAGTCTTGGATCGTGAGAGCAACGACTTGAACGACTGGACAGCACCCTGCCTTATGGCTGGATTGTTCGACTTCATGTTGGAGAGGAGGTGTTTCAACAGCTTTGCATGCAGCATCTCTGATAAGTCCATCTGTTCGGGCAGTGAAGAGCACAGTGAAGGCACAAGCCCACTAAGGACTACTTCGGGGGAACGCAGAATGGATTTCTCCAATGGCGGTACTATATCGGACATCACATCCTCGTAGGAAACGAAGGAGACGAAAAAGTCGGAGAGAGCATCTGCAATGTGAGCCGGCGGCACCGATTTCGATCCAACTAATTCCTTGACATAGAAAGTGATAATCGACTTCTTTTCCTCCTCCAAGATAGGCCTTTTGGTCGGAAGACGGGCGCACACGCCGGAGATGACACCTAGAAAGGGTGAGTTCTTCTGTCCTGAAGTCGCATCGCTAGTCAATCGACGAATAGACTGGCGGATGGCATCGTCGCCCCATGTGTCGGACGAGAAAACGGCCCGTAGAGCACGCCTCGTGACTCTCAGAGCCGATTGTTTCACTGGCAGTCTGGGGCCCGACGCCAAACAGGTCTCAAATAGCTTTGCATCCGCCGCAATGACGTCCAAAACAGTTGAGAGCGGTATTTCAGGATCATTGCTCAGAGCCTGAAAGGTAACTGAGCACCATTCCAGCAACACAAGTGCAGAAGCGGGCGCCAATGCAGGTTTGGATGCCTCAGCTTGCAGCCTTTGTGTGAGATATTTCAGGTTGTCGGTCGGGACGGGAGCCTTGAGAAGCGAGCGGAGACATTGCTGGACGGCTTGGCGAGAGGGACGATCGACATAGAGAGGATAGGTCTTGAAGAGGAGCCCAAGGAGAGGTTCACGGGTTTGTTGTGGGAGATCCGACCCTGCAAAATGAGGACTTAGCGAGGATCATACGGGAGGGGTTGTTTGGGGCCAATTTACCGATTCTCTCGCGAAGTTCCTGGAGAGCACGAATTCTGAGAGATGTCGAACTCGAAAAGAGAACGACAATCAGGCTCTCCAGATTACCAGATTGTACCTGATCCCATGGAAAATCGTCCATGTTAGGAGGCCTGTGGCATGTCGAGGTGGACTGGGGAGGGATTGGAGGATTGGAATTCCAAATGGAATTTAATTGAGTTGGAATTAAATCAAACTGCCTTTCGCTGCCGCCGATGTTGTCATAAAACTTTTACTTGTGGGGAAATCGTTTCAAAGCTCCTCTTTATTTGATTGACCACCGCCATTCAATCTCATCTACAAGTAACTATCTTTTCCTTCTAAATTATTTAACGCTTCAGGAAAATTTCTCAACCTCTAGTTGAGATCATACCTATTGCTCTTAACCCACTTACTCCCAGCAGTCCATCAGCGCATTTCCCCCTCCCCCGCAAGTATGCCGCCTAATAATAAGAAGAAGAAGAAGCCCGCCGCCAACCCAGCTCGAGGATTTGCAACAGTCTCCGTTCCGTCGAAACCTAAATCTACTAACACAACAGCTCCTGCGTCGAGAGCAGAATCTAAATCAGTCTCAGAGAGTGACCGACTGACCCCAGCGGAAAGCAGCCAACCAACAACGGAGACCCAGGGCGCTCCATCTTTACAAAATTACTCTCCAGAGGAACTAGAGAGGCACCTCGAAGATGCGGAACTGCAAATCCTGGTAGAGAAATACGCCTCCAAGTGCAGGAATGATGCAGCCCGTCAAGTTACAAAACTAGAAACGGAGCGAAGGGTACTCCGGCAGCAAGCCTTCTCATTAAGTCTTTTAGAGTGGTTGCCTGCTGGGACACTGGATTCAATCCTTAGTCTTGCCGAGACTGAAGAGTGTGAAATGAGGCCCCCATCGGTACGGGACTCGAATACTTTAAAAAAGTCTGGCTCGGAAGAGGATCTGTACATGAGGTTATGGACGCTAAGGGAGACCCTTTTCAAGCTCGGCTTTCCCGAGGCAAAAGTAGAGGAGTCATTAAAACATCTCTTACACTATTTTCCCGGTAATTTTGCCACTTCCAATAGGGACATGGTGTGTAATCTGGACGAGGCTCTAGACTGGCTGGCAATGCACTGCGACCCCAAAGAACTACCACCTTATACGCAGACCAATGCCCAGCTACGCAAAGATGAAAAGAATCTTTCCTGGATAACCGGTAATCTTAAAGAAATGACTAGCATCTACGCAGTGACTGGAGAGGGCTAACCGGCGTCAGATCGTGAGCCAACACAATCTTCTACTCCAAACTTGACCCAAGATGTTAGCAAAGTGAAAAAGACAAAAAATCCGCCAAAGGAACTCCATCCTTCTATATCGAGCCCCTATGATTCTGATAGCTCCCTGGACCCCGACACTCTGCTGCCGAAGTACTTAGAGCTGCAGACTCAACTCTATAATCTCCAGCCCGAGGCCTTTGACAAACCTAAGAAAGGAAAACGGTCGGCCCATGGGAGTGTTGAAATGGACACCAACGAACATCAAGTAGCGAAGATTCGGCGGAAAATTGCCGGCATTGAAAATGATGTACTCTTCGACCGTATAGAAGCTGAGTATCGGTGGAAAGAGAAGCTTGATGACTTGAGGAAGGAGGCAGCATTTTTGAGGCAGAATAACGAGCAAGCCCCTTCAGAAGAGCCCGAAAATAAGGAGCAGTCAGAGGAAAAAGGGGCGGAAGCCAAGATGGAGATTGGACCGATCGATTATGAAGAGACTACGGACCTCTTAGGGAATATGTTCCAAGCCGAGGAGCCAGTTTTGGAGACAGGCGTAATTCTGGAAGAGTTAAACAAAGCCGCCATCCAGATCCGTGACTTTGGGAAATGGACTGGACTTAGTCCTCGACGAGTTTTGGAAGATACGTGCAAGGCAAGGTATGCGAAGAATTTCCGTGGGATTAGATGGACCGGGTTGACGTATTGGCATTTTTTTAGGGATACCGGATGCACCGTCATCTTCAAGGATATTTCTTCTGCGCCGCATCTAAATAGAAAGGCAGTCGAAGTAAGATGGTCTAAACCCCAGGAGGTGCCATCTTTATTCGAATGGGATACAGTCACCCATAAATCAAGCACTTATGCCACTTTTGTCTCCATGGATACGTTAGCAACGCCAACCACACAGCAAGCGGAATCGTTTGTCTCGACACTTGCGCTTTTTATCCTTTTCCCCCAGAGCTCCAAAGAGGGTAAGGCTTACCTGCGTCTTCCAGCAGTGTGGAGAGAACTCTGGACCGAAATTGCGGGCGTAAAAAAGCTCCAAGAGGATGAGGCTGATAAGAAAACAATCAAACAAATAAAGATGTTGATCCAGGAGAATCAGGGCAACTTCGAAGATGACGTGGTACTATCGGATAATTTCCGGAGACGAAATGGGACGTCTAGCAAGCCAGAGTCTCCAGCCGGGGCACCCACCCCAAGAGAAGCTCCAGGCTCTGACTCTCAGTTGCAGAAGATTTGGATGGAGAAGTCATCCACTCCTTCTTTCAATAATATGGCCCAAGGACGGATGAACCTTCCTATCTGGGCTTTCAAAAACGAGATACTTAGCACACTTGACACCCACCGTGCGCTTATCATTTGTAGTGAGACAGGTAGCGGAAAGAGCACGCAGATACCTTCGTTTATCCTTGAACATGAGATGACACATGGCCGGCCTTGCAAGATCTATGTGACAGAACCCCGAAGGATCTCTGCTATATCATTGGCGCGACGGGTTAGTGAAGAACTGGGCGAAAGCAAAAATGATGTTGGGACGGCCCGCTCGCTCATCGGATTTGCTGTCAGATTGGAGAGCAAGGTCAGCCAATCGACCAGATTGGTATTTGCGTACGTTCGCCATCTGCAATTCATCTCAGGAGTGTAAACTGACCTTGCTAGAACAACTGGTGTTGTGGTGCGTATGCTGGAGCGTCCGGAAGATTTCCAAGATATCACCCACGTCGTGCTTGATGAGGTTCATGAGCGTTCTATTGATAGCGACTTCCTCCTTATTGTCCTGCGCCGACTGATGCAGAGGCGGCCAGACTTGAAGTTGATCCTGATGTCGGCTACGCTCGAAGCTCAACGGTTCTCTAATTATCTCGGCGGTGTCCCTGTCCTTAATATTCCAGGGCGAACTTTCCCCGTGGAGATGAAGTTCTTGGAGGATGCTGTGGAAATGACCAATTACCGCCTGTCAGAGAACGATTCGAATGCTCCTGTCGATGAAGACTCCGACGAGATGGCACCAGAAAGTGCCGAGGGTGACACGACAGGAGGTGTTCTTGCATCACTTGACGGTTATTCTAAGCAAACCAGAGAGACTATACTGAACTTTGATGAATATCGCCTTGATTACCAACTAATACGAAGACTTCTTATCAAGATTGCTACAGCACCGGAGATGACGCACTATAGCAAAGCTATTTTGATCTTTATGCCAGGCATGGCGGAAATCCGCCGCCTGAATGATGAGATTCTCTCGGAACCGATATTCCAACAGGGATGGATTGTGCATGCACTGCACTCTTCCATCGCTAGCGAAGACCAGGAGAAGGCCTTTATTGTTCCCCCGGAAGGCACAAGAAAGATAGTAATCGCCACCAATATTGCCGAGACGGGTATGTCACACATCTCCTGGAATGCTAGCTATTTATCTCACAGGTTGCTAACTCGACCAGGTATCACAATTCCGGATATCACTGCCGTCATTGATGCGGGCAAGGAGAAAACTATGCGGTGGGTCTTCATTTTCTCGCTTCCACATGAAGTTTACTGACTGATACTGTACCAGCTTCGATGAGAGACGCCAACTCTCCAGACTAGTTGAAGCCTTTATCTCACGAGCTAATGCGAAACAGAGACGGGGAAGAGCTGGACGGGTTCAGAATGGAATCTGTTTTCACATGTTTACGAAGCATAGACATGAAAAATTGGTACGCAAACTTCTGCATAGTAGTAGAATGTTCTCTAACGTTTTGTAGCTTGCGGAACAACAAACACCAGAGATGCTTCGTTTATCTCTTCAAGATCTAGTGCTACGAGTCAAGATCTGCAAACTGGGTGAAGTGGAACAAACTCTTCTCGAAGCCCTGGACGCACCTTCTTCCAAGAACATTCGTCGCGCTATAGACTCTCTTAAGGAGGTCAAAGCATTGACAAATTCAGAAAACTTAACCCCACTGGGCATACAGCTTGCGAAGTTACCGTTGGATGTCTTTCTCGGGAAGTTGATCATCCACGGAGCCTTCTTCAAGTGCCTGGATGCATCTCTTAGTATCGCGGCTATTTTATCTTCCAAGTCGCCCTTTGTCAATACCATGGGATCCAACACTCAGAAAGACCTTGCAAGGCTCTCATTCAAGAAAGGTATTTTTAATCTTCACCAGGTTCATATTCACATGCTGATTCTCGCGCAGGCGATTCTGATCTAATAACTGTATACAATGCATATTGCGCGTGGAAGCGCATGAGAAGCACCCCCGGTGCTAACGAGTATGCTTTTTGTCGAAAGAACTTCCTCAGTTCCCAGACGTTGTTGAATATCGAGGATATCAAGATGCAACTTATCGTGTCTATTGCCGACGCAGGTCTTTTGAAACTAAATCCAAACCAGAAAACGGTCCTGAACAGGTACATTCCATCTTAACCATTTTCCAATTGCAAGACTAACCTTCATGTAGAGCTCGCTACGGCGGTCGCCAGCGTCAATTCTTCACCATCCCTGAAGAATACGACATCAACAGCAACAGCGACATCATTGTCAACTCCGTCATTGCTTGGAGCTTCTATCCAAAAATGCTCACCCGCGAAGGCAAAGGCTGGCGGAACGTTGCCAACAACCAGACCGTCACACTCCACCCGACCTCGGTGAACAAACAAGCTGATACAACCTTGAAGTGGCTGTCGTACTATCACATCATGCAGGGCCGGAATCGGAATTACAATGCTTTTGAAACGAACGCTGTAGACGACTTCGCCATTGCGCTGTTGTGCGGCGAGGCCGAATACAAGGTAGGTTGAACCTCTGGAAGGCCCAAAAGGGGGTATGGACATGACATCTAATCAAATTACAGATGTACTCCGGCGTGATCTCAATTGACGCCAATCGAATCCGCTTCGCAGTTCGAGACTGGAAGTCCATGCTGGCGCTGAAGACCCTTAGCGCTCGTATACGGGACATCCTGTCTGGGACATTCCGGGATCCACAGAAGAAGCTATCTTATAAGCAACAACAATGGATCCATATATGGCAGCATATATTTACGGAGGCAGGGAAATGAAGGTCACAACAGCTATGAAGGAATGAAAAGAAACGCGATGGGATGTATCGAGGTCTATGCTTGTTTTGTGTAGATAATGGATATACGTCATGTACTGCATTAGAGCTAAATCAGGTATACATACACGGCAATGGCCTGGTATAGATACAAGAAATATAAGAAATGTCTTACTAAATAACCTTGAGATCACGTATGCTACTATGTAAGAGGATTAGGGAAAGTGAATGGAGCGCAGTTTCCAATTTAGGAAATCCATTCTTATCTTGAAGTATCTCCTCCCATATAACCATGACACCAGAATGTAAAAACGGTACAAACTTGCCATCGAGAACCATCCTTCACATCGCCCCATCCCAGACCACAAAGACACACCCGGTCTATTAAACCAGCCGGCAACAGCAAATCAAAGAAAAAGACAAGAAAATGGCCAACGCCCCAAACTACGAAAAAGAAGTCCGAATCGCCTCCCTAGCAGTTCAACGCGCCAGCATTCTCACCAAAACCATTCAAAACGAGATTCACAGAGCCAACGCCCAACTGCCTGATGGTTCGCCCGTGGCAATCGTCCAATTCGCCTCCCAGGTGATCCTCATGAACGCTATCTTGCACCATTTCCCCAGCGACAGGTTCGCGGGCGAGAAGTCTGCGTCCGCGCTCCGTGATGATCCCGTGCTTGCACGGCGGGTGTGGGAACTCGTGTCTATGGCCAAACTGGGGCACATTGAGGGCGAGGATTTGGTTGTGGTGCCGGGGACTTTGGAGGAGATGCTAGGTTCGATTGATGCTGAGGGCGATAGGGAGAGGCCTGGGGCGCAGCGGACCTGGTTCCTGGGTCCGATTGATGGGACGAAGACGTTTATGCGGGGTCAGCAATATGCGGTCTCTCTGACGCTAGTGGAAAGTGGAGAGCAGAAAGTGGGTGTGGTCGGGTATCCGAATTTGGCGTTTGAGAACAGGTGTGATCGGGAGGATGTCGTAGTTCGTGATGGGTATGGGATTATGTTATCGGCCGTCAAGGGTCAGGGTGCGTACAAGCGATGGATGGCCCAGTCGAGCTTGCAGCCTCCGCAGAGAAATTCTCTCGGTCCCTGGCGGAGGATGGGGGAGACAATCACATTTGCTGAGAGTTCGATCAGCCATGTCGTCAATAAGGAGAAGCACAGGTTTATTAGAAGCATGTTGTTAGCGAATCCGGTGGTAGATCTTCATTCTATGCAGGTCAGATATGCGGCCCTCGCAACCGGTGCATGCAACGCGATGATCTGCCTCCCAAAGGACAAGAACACCCGGTTCCCTGCATGGGAGCATGCTGGTGGAATGCTTATCTTTGAGGAGTCAGGCGGCATAGTGACCGACCTATATGGCCGGCCGTTCAACTACGCTCGTGGGACAAGGTTAACGGACAATGAGGGCTTGGTAGCAGCGAAACCGGGGCTTCATGTCGATCTTCTGCGCTACTCGCGTCACATATATGAGAAGGACTTAAGTAGCATGACATAGCAGTAGTGTAGGCATAATAATGCACTAGAAAGACTGGAATTTTGAAACCCTATAATATTTTTGTAATAAGCCCATACATAAAACACTAACAAAACCTAGGCCTACTGGCCCTCGATGCATGAATGGAGAACAAGCCACAAAAGTATAACAACTCGTACAAGGAAATTCGTCTCATCATGGTCGTTAAATATAACCTGTCGGAAAATCGCAATACCACAAGATGACCAGAAGCACCATAACGCTGACCAACCCTCATCCATAGAGAAAGCGAGAAAAGCAGGTTTGCGGACTTGCTAACACTGCAACGAGCACCTAGAAACATGCCCCTTTTATGGCCGAAAAGGGGAAAACTCGGACATTATAACGATCGTAGTCAGGTGTTCACACCATAATTTCATGGTGCGATGACCCATCTCTAACATTTGCCCAACATAAACACGCTGAAAAGAAATAACCGACACCAGAATGTAGTGTGCCCCCGAAACGCAAATGGGTTGTAATCAACGGAGCAACCAATCCCGTCTTCATGATGCCGAGTCATACGAATGTGTAGTCTATCCAAGATGTAAGGAAAGATAAGAGCCTGTAATGCATTCGAACTACCCGAGGGATCCAAAGCCGACCCTTTATGCTCGCGAAGGGATGGGATTCAATGCCTCCCTCGATTTTTTTTGGCTTTTTTTCTTTCTTTATATTTTCCTTTTTGAAAACTTCTTTAGGGCCGGGGCAATCATATGAAATACTCTGAAGGCCTCAGCGACGACGAGACATCACGCCACCGCCAGCCTTCATTGGTTGTAAGCCAAGAGGTACACCTCCAACAGGACCACCCACCGTCGCTTCAGTCAAAGTCTTTCGGCGTTTACTATCATATTCCGCGCCACGACTGTCTGGTCGAACTATTTGGTCCACGTCGTCATCATCCCGCAAGCGCTTTCCGGACCCCAGGGATCCATTCATTCCTGTCGAATACCCTGGTGCGGGGTTGGACGCTACGGAATAATTGTCAGAAGTTGTTCCGTTGGCTGACGCACTGCGAGTGTCGCTGACAATGTTGTACAAGCTGCTGGCGGCCGTTGGTCGGGGAGGAGTATTGTAGCCCGAGGCCCACTGTGGAGGAGGCCCTCCGCTTGTACGAGGGGTCATGCGCCCAGACCCGTTTTGTTGCGAGGGGGAGCCAGCCATATCAGACGCAAGCTGAGAATGATCTCCTGCTAAGCTACCAACTGAAGGGTTGGTGGTGTAGGTGTAAGATCCGCGGCTGGCGTTATAGCCTGTGCTATCGTGTTGCACGTACTCAGGTTCATGTTCAGATACCGGCTCACCCGCTCCACCGCCAACATGCCCATTACTCTGAGCATAACGGTCAGACTTGACATCAACCTGTTCCGCGTCTGGTGGTCCCCCTGAAGCCCTTGCAGACGGGGGGGCCATGTCATTCTTGATATATGTACTAGCCGGCATAGCCTGACCGTATGGAGCCATAGGCTGGGTCAAGGGATGCTGAGGAGCATATTGAGCATGGGATGGGGGCGCGGCCGAGTAGTACGATTTCGAGTTATCGTATCCGGACTGACCCTGGTAAGCTTGCATCCCTTGCATATTACTGCCGGGTGGAGTGGTAGCCGGGGTTGTGGGCATCGACCTAGCATTGCTCAGGGTCGTGTCGATCGATAGAGGTTGTGTGTTAGGGACACCTGAATTCATACCCTGACTCCCCCATTCATAAGAGCTCCCCTGGTTAGTGATACCCATGAGACTGGACGCACTTGCGGGAGGGGTAGGGAAAGTGTGGGCACGATCAAGACCCGGTCTACCAGCAGGCTGGGACGTCATCGCGTGAGACTGAGGCATGTGCGATGGAACCGGTGTTTGTAACGAATGATGGTGGTGGTGCAAGGCAGGAGGCTGAGGGCCCTGTGAAGCTCGCGTTACCTGAGGGCCTTCTAACCGCCGTTGCTGCGATTCTTGTACAACCATGTTGGTCCGTGTCTGGTTGGTGGGATGGTACAGAAGGCCTCCAATATTGTGCACGAACAGAGGGTACAAAAGGTCTGTAATTTTTTCTTTGTTGGCAAACTCCAAGGCACGCTCAAATGGAATCCTGAAAAAGAGATTAGAATATTCTCCAACATCGCAGGTGTATAGAAAGAGTCGTACCACACGCCCTTTAAGTGCATTGGACCAATCTTGACGACATGACGAATCTTCTCGCTCTTAAGAATTCCGTCACGGCGGCCTCTGGTCATCCCTGCCACATTGAGCAATTTGGTACCGTTGATCATGTGATTATCTACATACGAGTCAGTACACAGTAATCTTAAGAGGCGGATACAAAGATTGGGGGACTTACCTTCCCGACGAGCAACGCATACGCCCTTAGCTTCAACCTGGTAGCAAAGGCTCCCTTCGTCTTCCCATAAGGTGGCCGTGACCCGTGGTTTGGCGCCAGGCGGAGCGATTTGGCCTGTAGCATCGTACACGTACCCTTGCAGAGGCGTCCCAGTGTTATTCCCATATCCAGGGGGTGCAACTGTATGGCTAGTAACTGAAGGTACGGTATCATTAGCATTTTATACTGGAGACAACGTTCTAACGTAGAATTTACCTGGCAATGGCAGTAGCTGAGCTGGGACCTGGCTGCTCATTGACGTTGACGGAGGCTGCGGGCCCGGTTGGGACGATGTGACACCGCCAGGGTAAGCATATTGGGAATATGAGCTAGCCGGGCCATATGTAGTTGATGCCGGTTGCAATACCGGGGGTTGCTGATGGTATTGGGGGTAATGGGCGATTCCACCTGCTGTCGCAGCTTGAGAAGCATATGATTGTGCTGATGACAGATGGGATGAGTGGACATCCATGTATGGTTGTGTATGGTTCATGCTGCCAATTGCGGTGGGATTGGGATAGTAGCTATCACCCACGGAGTTTTGCGGGATGGAATACTCCTGTGGAGCGGAAGAATCCAAAGAGAGCCGGCCCTGACCACCAGTTGCCAAGTCCGCAGACGGCGGTGGGCTCCTAGCCTCGTTGATGACAGGTGCGGTTCCGGATAGACTTGTCCGAGCGCTCGCGTTGTGGGATGCTGAGGCCTCTTCGTAGCTAGTCCGATAGGACTGGCCCGAGATTGGCGGCTGCGAGGCCGTCGGTAAACTGAGAGCCGGGAGTTTGTCGCCAGACAAAAGAGGTCTCTCAGCAGCGTGATGATTGTACCACGGAATATCAACAGGACCTCTGGTGTGGACCTGGGAAATCGACGGTAGCTCCAGTTTTTCGGTTGGTGAAGGTAACGGTTCTAATAAATGAAGTGATTGGAAGCTGCTGGACGTTGGATCTGAATGCGTCCAACGTGCCACAATGCTATTATTTTTGCCTTTTTTTTTTCTCTTTGCTCCTCGTGGTTCGGGTCAGATCACGAAAGTGCAAATTGAGTCGACATGCAATATGATGCCAAGAGTTGTTTCGTCAGGTACAAAGGAAAACCAATATTGATGCTAGCACCGAGTCCAGAGTGAATGCAAATATGTCGTTAAGAAATAATGAACAGCTCCAACAAACAGTACGGGAAAATGCAAGGTGCAATCGTGGCAAGCTCGTGGAAAATCGTAACCGTAAAACGCTTGAAGATCGCTGGCGTAACTGGACCGAGAAATCGCTATGCAGCGTTAATAGACAGGAATCTACATCCAGTAATGTACGAAGATCGGAGTGGTCAGAAGCAAAACCATGAAAGCCAGGCAGACAAAATAGCGCGCTTGGGGCTGGACAGAAATCGCTTAACCAAATCAGAGGCACGAAATCATGGGTCTCGTATCAAGTCGTAAGAAGAACGGGGGCAAGAGCGACGTGACAGTCCAGCATCAAACGTCGAATGCTTCTCTCGTGACTTCGACGCGGCGTCGCACTAATGATGGGCGAAGAATGCGCACGGGTAAGTAGAAGGTGCTCTCCCGGTCTCTTTTTAATTGCAACGAACAGGGGAACAAGCTCGTAGCGATTCGTAACAGGTCGTAGCAGGTCGTCGAAGATAGCGTGCTGCACCAAAGTTTGAACAATGGGACAGTCTAGACAAAACACATATGATAGAAGTAAGCAGGGCGTTCAAGTCATCACAACAATCGTGTCGAAGAAAGAAACAAAAGAACAGTGACCGAAGCAGTAGAGAATCTCAGATGGAACGTCCGACAGATGTATAAGAAGGTGTCAAACGGAAGGGATGCTGGTGTACTAACGAGGCGGACAAGGGAGACTGGTACCGTGGACAGGGAGAAAATCAAAAAATAGAAATTCAAGCCAAGAGATACCTAGAAGATAGATTTCAGAGGGGCAAAAAGATATAAAAAAAAGAAATTAAAAAAAAAAAAAAAGAAAAAAAAGAAAAATGGAAGAAAAAGAGTAATCCAAAATTCAAAAACAATCCCCTAGACACTCCCGGCGTGGAC